CCATCCCTTCATCAATCGCATGATCCTGCCCATTCCCTGTCTTCCGCCCGCATCTACAGCCATCTATCATGCCTCCTTGCTGTCTGATACAATGCTGACAACTGTCCCAGGCCGCCTCCCACCTATCTTCCCCAGTTCTTACTCATTTTTGTTCATTCTTTCACTACTGTATACTACTAATGAATTCAATTCTATTGCTTCAGCTCAATATGCAAATGGTGTGCGGGCGGGATAAAATGGTGGCAACAAGAGGCGGGAGAGCACTTGCCAAGCCAATTTGCAGCAATGCTGATGGGGCACGCTCATGCCAAACAGACGAGTGCCTCGGCTCCGCCCATCGGCTGTGTGATCTCGCCCAGCCCTCTGCCTCCCTCCAGTGTCCTCAGCCATCAGATGTGTCTGTTTGCTGTCTGAGATGGTGCTGACTACTGTCTGAGACCGTCCCGGCTCCTTCCTCCAGTTTCTGGCTGTTTCATTTCATTTTTTCACAGCTGTATAGTACTGATTACATATTCTGTACCTACTAGTAAACCAAACAAAGGCATTGTGGGTGGGCGACCTGGCAGCTGCAGTGGGAGAGCAGCCTGTCAAGCTAGTTGGCACCGCCGACGTGCATTCACACCAAATAGCCGAGCACCTCCGCTCCTTCTGCCAACCTGCATGATTGCGCTCTACCGCCCTTCCTCAGCTCACATGTGATTGTGCCCTCCTACTAGCATTTGCTGTTGACAGCCGTAGCTATCAGATGTGCCTCCTCACTATTTCCCTCACCCCCAGCCATTCCGTTTCTCAATTCTTTTTGTTTAGCTAGTCGAATGTATGTCATTGTAACAATAGAATGAAAAAATTATGCTTGGGCAGAGTGGGGAATGAGCAGAATGACATGACACGTTGCACCTGACTCTGCCTTCCACCAGCATTCCTAGGCATCAAACATGTGCCTTGGCCTGCAGCTATTGTGAGCCCCGCGCACTGACATCAGCTTCTTGTGTAGTTCTCATTGCCGCCATGTTACCATCAAACGCCACCAAGGCAATGACATCGTTGCGTGCGCCAGTTGTAAGGGCATTAGCAGAATGCATTAGTACCGCATAATGTACATAGAATAGTAGTAATAATATTGCTGTTATTGACAGCATTACCTCAACTCCATGCCTAAATGTCGAGCTGCTTCTCCAAAGTCCGTTTATTCAGACCGCGCTTCTTGCCTGCGCCAGAGCGCCGCTTTCACGGTGATGCCTGTTGACTCGCTGACTGATCAGTCTGGCGCTTTCGTTTCCTGGTGTGTAGCTGGAATACGCCGAAGCCCGCAGTTGAGGGAGGCATGGCAGTTGCTCGAGACAGTGCTCAGGGCGAAGGGAGGCAAGCAGTAGTGAATGGCAACGACGGCGATAGAGATGAGACGAGTGATGACAACGAGGTCACAGAGACAGAAGACAATGAGGCAGCAGAGACAGAAGACGAGAGCATAGATGGTTCAGTGGTGGTGGCAGGTGCGGGCGGCATCATAAAGGAAGCCATCAATGGTGGCACAACAGTGGCAGCAGGTGCTAATGGCGGCGCAACAATGATGGGGACTGCCGATGATGGCACAGCAGTAGCGGTAGCAGGCACTGGTGGTGGCGCAGCGATAGCGGTGGCAAGCGTTGGTGGTGGCACAACAGAAGCTGCTACTGATAGCACATCATCAGTAGAGGTGGCTGACAGTGAGGTAATGAGGGACAAAGATGTCGCCCATGGCTCTGCTGTCTCCTGCTCGATTGTGTCATGCTCTGTGATCAGCTGATCGAACTGTTCCTTGCGCCATGCTTCCAGTTCTTTGGCACTGAGCTTGCAAAAGCTAGTGGCACCGGACTCGGGGGCAGACTTGAGAATGATGAGTTCGGGCATAGAGTTGATGGAGCCAGGGCAGCTAAATCGCTCGAGCAGCTAGTTGTCACAGACGATACTGAATTTATTTGTCATACAAGAGAATGTCTTGTAGTTGATTTTTCCGATAGGTTTTGGTGCAGCCACGGCACCTAGTGATAGCATCAGCTTGGCATCCGTTAGTAAACATAGAAGTAATCTTACTCACAGAACTTTTTGAGGACAAGCTTCGCAACAAAGCTCCTGATAGTGGTTGGTCTTTGCACCTAAAGACACGTCAGTTTTAGCGTCAAGTGACAGCAGGAGAAGACGTACCTTCAACCCCAGCAAGCATGAAGCACTCCATCTTCTTTGCGAACTTCTCACAATCCATCTTCAGGCACAGAGGAAAGAACTCTTCGACGTTCTTGCTTGTCGCAAACATGCGTGGCCTCGTATATTGGTAGAAGTCTGGGCGTACCCCGCAGTAGAAGATCTCATGGCCCGTGCAACTGTTCAGCGCCGTAAGCTGGAAGTTCGCGTTAGCACAATACACGATGGTGATGAAAAAACATACCTCGTCATCCCACCGATTTAGCGTTGCTCTTACATCATGGAACATGGCCATCTCCGTGCTGTGCATCACATACTTCTGGTTCTCGCGCAACTCCTCTATCTCAGCAATGATGCCTTTTGTGGCCTTGATGCATTCTCCTTCGCACATGTCTGCCCACTCATCTGCTGCTTCACGTGCGATGTCAAAGATTTTTGGACGGTTCGCATCAGGCGAAAGTCCTACCAACAGATGTAAGTCAACATACACACACATAAAAGAAAGGCAACGCACTCGCTGCAACCTCCTGTGCTTTTTTACAAAGATATGCATTCCACCGACTAACTGCCTTCGCGGGAAGCTTCTTTCCTCTGCGCTGGACAATAAGCTTGTAAAATTTCTTTGGCGTTAGGACCTGGAGCTCTTTGTGGATCTTGGCTGCCTTGTCCCAGCAGATCTGCACAACAGCGTTGACAACATCGTTGATCTTACCTTTATTCTCATGCCACTTCGCAGCAGCGGCCTCCTTCTCGGGGGTTGTCTCCTGTTGAACATGTTGTTTGCGGTGTTGCACGATTCTGCGCACCGTCCATTGGAGAGGCTTGCAAGTTGGGTAGTCAAGATTGCAAAGTGCTGCTCATCTGTGGATTGTCTCTGGCATAGCAGAGTGTCAGATAACAGAGCTTTATCAGTAACAGAGGCATGAGAGAGCCACAGCATGCTAAGTGAATAAAATTTTATATGCAGCTCACCCTGTGTTCGAAACTTCGGCTAGCCACATCACATGCAAGTTTGTTGAGTGTCAATAAACAAGAGAAATTAAATGATCTGTGCAAAAAGTAATAACTAGCAAGGTGATGTCGCGAATAACTGAAGGCATGCAGATGATTGGTACAGCGGCTATACAGGCGTTATGTAACAACGGCGACGGAAAGTTGGCTCCTTCTGAAAGGGATTAACACAGATGTGGAAGTAGAACCAATGAGCCTCAGCGTGCGGGATCCACCTCACCATGTACATTGAAAAGTCATCAATGCCATCATAGATCTCAAAGGCATGTTGCACCTCAAAGCAAAAGGAGACAGAGAATCTGAACGCATCAAGAAATGCATCAACGACAGGGCCAAGAGATGGCACCATAACATGAGATGGACCAGGATCCTTCTTGTAAGCACCAGTTACATGTCCATCCATGTCACGGACATGCATATAGAAGTTGTGGTTCCCCTCTGCGCCAGAGATAATGTTAGATCAATCAATCACCGTTGACGAAACATACTCACTTTCATCATTTAATCCATCATCTGCCTCCTCGCATAATAAAGGGACAGGAGCTGAGATGCGATCTAACTCGATGGTCGGGATCAGAACATTGGAGGGCAGGGTCTGTGCAGCTAGAGTTGGAGTCTCGGAGGGCAGAGTCTGCACAGCTGAAGTGGCCTGTAAGGCTGGAGCTAGTGATGCTGTCACACGACCACTGTGATCAGCATCACCAGGGACAAGAGCTAGCATAGCGTCAGTATTTGCACAAGCTTTATAATCATACACTTACTTTGGCCCTTGTCAGATGCTTTGATGGGAAGATCCTCGAGAACCTCAATGTCGGAGTTGTATTCAGTGTCACTTGGAACAACAACTGGCTCCTTGCTGCGCAGCTTTGCCAACTGAAGGGGCATGCGACTGCATGAATTGGATGGAGCCTTGCGTGGGGGAGGAGCAACCTTGCACGTTGGCAAAAGCAGCTTACTCTTGGAAGTTGAGGGGCCGACTGCACCAGGACCCGCATTGGTCCGTTCGCCTAGTTGAATGGAAGAGAAACTTGATGTTAGTCTGTCAAGTTCAGCATCGAAGTGGGAGAGGTCCTCCTGAACATCAGTAAGTCTCTGTGGTTTTCTATCTCTCAATATCATGGACATAAGAGCCTCCAGTAGCAAAGTGCATCTGTGGCCAACATGAGGGAGAGCCTGCCCTCGATAGAGTTCATATGCGTCAGCCCTGAAGGTTGTTCAACACCCACATATTGGTAGTTAGTTGGGTAGATACTGCGCACCAGCAAAGTGTGATCATCTCATGGCCTTCATTGCCTTTAAACA